CAGAATTAGTAAAGTTTGAATACATTTATTTCAGAAGCATTTTGGCTGTAGAGCAGTGTAATCTAAGTTATTTATGAAACTCCTTCATCCTGTTCAGACAGTTGGTATGTCTGCACTTGGTTATGCCATAACCCTATTGTCCACACCTAAACCTCACAATCACGTCTGAAGGCGAGTAAAAGGTACGTATAAGGCTAGCACCATTGACGGCAGTGGGTAAGTACACACTGCAGGCTGTGGCATAGCTCCATATGACTGCCAGTTTGCAGTATGGACAGGGGTAAAAGTCCTCCACCCCCATTCCCACAATGTACTGAACTCTTTTCTTCCTGACTCTTACCCAATCTATAAAGGTCCCGGGTCCCCCTGTTTTCACCAGTGGTCGTGAGCCGCACTAACCACATAAGAACAGCTTCCTGGTGCACAGATCAATCCAGGTGAAAATGGATCCTGCTCCAAGAGCAGTCACTTGGTCCAACGACCACACCTGGGTGTCAATCAACATGTGGTTGGAGTACACCATCTTCCACAATGTCACCTGGAGTGGCAGGAACATGCACCTGTACCAGGAAACGTCATGGAAGTAGGACCAGGCAGGCATTCAGCAGACTCTGGCCTAGTGCCTGGAATGTATCAAGCTCTTGAGTTCAAATGCAAGAGGGCTAAAGATTTGAACAATCACTCCAGGAGGGTTCGCTGTACATGCCCCTGAATATATGGAGATATACCTATCTCCTAGAACTGGAAGGGACCCCGAAAGGTCATTGAGTCCAGCCTCCTGCCTTCACTAGCAGGACCAAGTACCAATTTTTCCCCAGATCCCTAAGTGGCCCCCTTAAGGATTGAACTCACAACCCTGGGTTTAGCAGGCCAATGCTCAAATCACTGAGCTATCCCTTCTACAAGGAGCTTGTCCGAATGCTGTCATGGGCTCCCAGTACAGAGTCTGGAGTGGCTCACAATCCTCTCCTCAATCTCCCCAGCCTCCTGTGTCTCTGTGTTTCTCAGCCAGTGGTCAGGTTGCAATGGTCCCAGCGCTGAGCAGACTGAGGGATGGGAGTGGATGGGTTACACAGCTCCTGACTGGGGAAGGGAAAGTTGTAGAAAACTTATAGTTGGTTGTCTAAAGTTAGTCACAGCTGTCTTTTGTCCCCTGGAAGATTACACAGTTTCAGTGCTTCTCCTACCCCACTGATCTTACTGCCCCTTTACAAGTAGGAGACAAGCAGAACAGGGCCGGGGAGTTAGGTTCGAGAAAGAAGGGGACAGAACACAGTTGTAGAAAACTTTTGTTGTCTGTAGAAAAATTAGTCACAGCAGTCCTTTCTTCTTTGGCAGATTACAATTTTTTTTACCATCCCTGAAGTCTGGGTTCTCCCTGCACTAAGCCATGCTGCACAAGCGGGGAAAAAGGGAACAGGAGAAGGATATCGTCTGGTGGTTGGATAAACACAGTGAAGGGTCCCTTTGCAGTGGAGAGGTGAGGGGCTTGCAGTGCTTGTCAAGCTGTCCTGCAGTGACTCAAGACCATAAGTACCAACGTCAGGGAAGACTGTTAAGAAAAAGGGCACAAACCCCAAATTGGTTATGAGTTCTATACTTAGATTTCACCACTCAAGTGTGAACTCCTCAAGCACTATAACCTAAACTATAGCCTTAACATGGAGTTACAGACAGTCCCCTTGGGTACTCTGATCTATCTTGCTACCCAGAGCCTGCCTTTGTGACACATGGTCCCTTACACCAAAGATCACAGCAATATTCAGGTTATATCCAGTCCTAAAGAACCAGTCACTTACCCTGGTCAATTGCACATTCAATTTCACACTGAAGACAAAGCTTGTAGCCAGTCCTATAATAAACTAGCTAAAGATTTATTAACTATGAAAAGGAAATAAGAGTGTTATTCAAAAGGTTAAACATATATACATAAAAATCAGTTCCAATCTTAAATTTCAAAAAGTAATAGAAGCTTCTATAATAAGCAAGCTCTATGTGTCCTTTTGGGCTAACCCAGGCCAAACACTGGGGATCTTTTGTTTATGCTTAGTAATCCTTGCCCCTCAGAAACCAAGCAGCATCAAAAGATACTTGATAGTGCTTTTATTCCTTCCCCCTTCTGCTTTAAGTTGCAAATTTGGCTGTTGGGAGGAATCCACTTGTTTGTCTCCCCTTGGGGGGGGGGAAGGCGGGGGGGAAGAAAAGGGCAATCAACAAAGTCTTTTGTCCTCTGATGTTCCACAGTAGTTCATCAGGCATTGATGGGCCTCCTTTGCTGGGCAATAGATAACACCTCTTGTTGGAAACTAGTATTTCACACTCAGTGTCTCTTTCCTCTCTGGTGATTTACATACAGAACAAACTACCTGAAGGAGGGTTCCAAAGAGGATGGAGCTCGGCTGTTCTCAATGGGGGCAGATGACAGAACAAGGAGCAATGGTCTCAAATTGCAGTGGGAGAGGTCTAGGTTGGATACTAGGAAAAACTAATTCCAGTAGTGAAGCACTGGAATGGGTTACCTAGGGAGGTAGTGGAATCTCCTTCCTTAGAGGTTTTTAAGGCCCGGATTGACAAAGCCCCTGAGTGGGATGATTTAGTTGGGGTTGGTCCTGCTTTGAGCAGGGGGTTGGGACTAGATGATCTCCTGAGGTCTCTTCCAACCTAATCTTCTATGAGTCTATGAAACACTTAAACATTACCTTAGAACAGGGGTTACAGGTATTATAAGTGAGATTAATGCAGGCAGCAACTTAAAAGCATTTCATAAAGTCTGAACACTAAACACATTCTTATAATTCTAATACCTATTTTAACAATATCAACACACAGGTGGAGCCAAACTGGTTCCAACTATATATTGATCAGTATTCAGTTGAGACCTAGGGGCCTTGGCTCAAGCTGGTGCCTGGCCCGCCAGCATCACAGTGCTGATTTGAAACTGCAGGGAACCAAAGTGACTGGGGCTTTAGGAAAAATACAGGTAGATTGATGGACTGATTGGTTGGTAGAAACTGGAGGACATCTTTGATGGATTTTAGGGTGTGGGCATAGGTACCACCTTGTCTTTAGAGGGCACCGCATAGGCTGGGTGAACCAGTAGTGCCTGTATCTCAGACTTTCCAGGCCAATGTGATTCCCAGAAGGAATTCAGTCTTCAGTGAGAGAAATGATGATACCCCGACAATGACTGGGGCGGTGTCACATTGATGTTCCAGTATGGAGGTGGTTCCTGAAGAAGTCAGAATGTTATAACTGTAGGTGAGAGGACATGGTAAAGTCCTGTCTGGTGGGTAGAAGGCTAAAATCTCAGTGGGTCAAGCAGCATCCGTCTCAGACTCAGGGCAGGATGCAGAATCTGGCTCTACCCATGAGACAGCAGATCCAGGTTGGACCAAAGAATCCAGTGGCAGGTCCAGCAGGTTGGAAAAGTCCATATTGGGAAGAGAGCAGCACCTTGGCCCGGTCCACTGCTGGTAACGAGGACTGGGGGCTGCCTGGTTTCAGTCCAGGAGGAGTGGGTCTGCTAGAGACCCAGGGCTGTTTCTGCCCCAGGAGCAGAGCTGGCTGCAGGTGGCATTCTGTGCTATTGCACCAGAGTGGCTCCCCATTCCAAGATCTGAGCACTGGTTAGTGAGTGTCTGAGCACTCTCTGCTGTGGCAACATCCCAAGCAGCTCTCTGCCCAGAAAAGATGAGAAGTGGTGAGTCTGATGTGATGATGGACACACCATCATGTGAGCTGAGCCAGTTGAGACAGACAGTGATAGTGAGACCTGTCCTTTGCCTTCTGGTTGCCTTTGTGCAGATCGCTGTCGTGGGTCTCTGCTTGGCAGCTGAAAGGGGGATGTGTCCCTATTGGCAAGCGTCTTCTGGGCATGGAATATAAAAGGCTGCTGGTGTGAGAATCCACAGTGCAGGACCAAGATCTTGACACCGACTCCTGGATGCTCGGCATTGGGGAGGAGCCCTCTTTGAGGGCCTATCGACAACTGGCTCCTCCGGTCTCTCTCCTTGTTTGAGCTTAGTAAAGGCCTAATCCAAGGGGAATCAATGCTGACAGAAAAGGCACTGAGTGTGCATGTCCACCACAGGCCTAGCACCATAGTGGGAGCAGGGGGCTTGGACTTACCTGAACAAAGAGCTGCACACTGGAGTGGGGAAAGCTCACCACAAGTTTGACACACAGGAGCCAAAACAACCTAGCATAGTGCCAAACCCCAAGGCTTCTACACGCCTAAAAATACAAGGGCAGGAACAAACCTTGCTGAGGAGGTGATGCTAATGCGTCACTGCAGCTAGCTGACTCTGGCATGCCCCGTATATTGGAGGGGGGGAGCAAGGACACAGGCAGGGTTTCCCGCAACCCCATGGACACTGCCCTACAGAGGACCCAGTGCTGTGCAGAGGGGGTTCCCTGGTGGCTCCATGCTACTCAAACACTCAGCCTTAGCAATAACTCATGTGCTACAGACACTCACCTCCACTAGCCCTGCTGCTGCTGCCTGCTCCAGCAGAGTCACAGCCTTCTGCATGTCAGCCCCTTCAGTGTTGAGCCCATGGCGTAAGAGGAACCTGGCATAGCGGTACTGGGCCGTGGGGTGCCCATTGCTGGCTGCACGATGGTAATAGAGAGCTGCCTGGAAACAGAGAAACACCATCATGAGCGCCCGGAGGTATGCATGCCAGGCCGCGTTGTCCCAGGCATCTTTGTGAGGAGGCTGACACTCTCCAATACTTACCCAGCCTGGCAAGGACACCATAGCATGCATCTGCATCCAAACCCCCTTGCCGGTTCTCATCACAAGCTATGCATACTCCCCCAGGCAGCCATTAGCAGAAATACCCTCCCTAACTGTGCAGCCTCCTTCATACTCAGTGCCCTGCAGATCCCAGACATGGACCAGATTTAGTTGGGGATTGGTCCTGCTTTGAGCAGGGAGTTGGACTAGATGACCTCCTGAGGTCCCTTCCAACCCTGATATTCTATGCTTCTATGAAACATAAGACTATTCGGGTGAGATCCTGCTTCTCGGGTATGATCATCAGGGAGAGAACTGACTATGGGAGACATGCAGCCTCTCTCTCCCCAAGTGTGCACCATCCCTCAGGAACAACCCAACCCCAAGCACACACAGCACATGCCTGCACCACTGCCCCATACACAATCATACCCATCCTACCATCCAAATGCCATCACATTACAGCCCTGTGCTAGCTGCAGCAACTGCTCACATAGGAGAGTGAAAGTAGGGAAATGGGATGATTGGCAGCTGGGGACTGCACCCATTCCCTCTTTTCCTAGCCACAACCCCTATTCCATAGCGGGTGGCATAGGGCCAGCTACACCAGATTCTTCTATGCCTTGGGACTAGCACAATGCCCAACTAAGCTGGTTCTGCAGTTCCTTTGCACCAGCTGAGTGGCACAAAATAGCCACAGCAGGGGCACTCCTACAAACAATACTCCCTAGGTTCAAGATGTGCATCTCAGTGCACCCACACAAAGCTGCTGGGAGGTGGTCCAGGCAGGACATGGCTCCTGCACATGTGGTGGTGTTTTACATATGTACCGTATGGTAACAGGATTCCCCAGTACTCTCCCAGCCACTACTAATACTACATATATAAGTGTATGGAACAGGGCCTGGGAAGGTATATTTGAAAAGGACAGGGCTGCAAAGGAGCCAAGTCTCCTCCCATGAGGGGCAGTCTTCCCTAGGCACCCATGCAATTAAAGCCTACACTGGCACAAGTGCAGCCTTAGCTTTAGCATCTCCTGATGGGAAGGTGTTTGACTCTGCAGCCCTAACCTTCCCTCCTAGGAGTTTCCTGGCTGGAATAATTAATAGTTTGCATTTATGTGTACAATACCTCCCACTAGAGCCCAGCAACGGGACTGGAATCCTGCGGGTCCTACAGGACCCGCTGCCATAATAGCTGGAGTGGGATAAAAATTCAAGGAACAATGCGGGAGCAGGTGGGAGTGGGTACTGCGGGGCGGGATAGGAGTAGGATTAAAAAAAACAGTCCTCCATCACCACAAACATAAACACCCCAGCCAGCAGTGGCTGCACTCTGGCCCCCAGCTCTGAAGGCAGTGCTGCTGCCAGCAGCAGTGCAGAAGTAAGGGAGAGCCCCCATTGCCAAACTATCTATGTCTGGAGATGGCAGGGCATGGAGGCCTTCCATCCCCTTAGCATGATAATGCAGTGGCTCTTCAGCCATTTGCATGGAGGGATGGGGGTTTCTAATCCCTTTGCGTGGGGAAGGGAAGACACAGGGGCTGCTCATCCCCTCATAGGAGGGCATGAGGACTCTGACCCCACTGTATGGGTGATTTGGGCTGGTTGGGCGGTCCCCATCCCATTGCATGGGGATGTAGGGAGTGGGTGGGTGCCGGTGGGGAAACATCTGCTGAGAGCAGCACATCCAGCCATTGCTGGGACAATTTTAGAGTCCTGCAGTGGGACTGGAATCCCGCGGGTCCCACAGGATCCACTGCCATAATAGCAGGAGCGGAATAAAAATTCAAGAAACAATGTGATAGTGGGTACTATGGATCTGAACAGTGGGATTAAAAAAATAGTCCCGCACAGGGCTCTACTTCCTACCCCAGGACTTCTGAGGGCCCCCACACACACCCAAGGGTTGCGGGGTGCCCCTGCACTGACAGGCATTCACCAATGCACACAAGGGTATAGATGGGAACAGTCCCTGCGGCAAGGGACTTTGGAGCAAAGTGTCTCACAGGCACTCCTTCCCCATCACTGCTCCTACTCATGCTGCTGTGAAACAGGGCTAATAGCGCTCCCCCAGCCTCCTGGTAGGTGTCTATGTGTGTGTGTCTCTCTCTCTGCATGCCACCAGGTACCTTTGCCAGGTCTTTCTCCGTGCCTCTGCCATGCTCATAACACAGGCCCACGTTGAACTGGGCTTTGCTGTAGCCCCGATCTGCTGCCAGCTTGAAGCAGGAATAGGCTGCCCTGTAGTGGCCATCACTCACACTCTCAATCCCTGGGGAGGGAACAGTGCATGTTCAGCAAAGCAGCATAAAGGCAGCAGGCAGGCCAGGATCATGGAACTCATCGTGCCCCACCCATGGCAGCTGGCCTCACTGCACCCTGCCAAGTTTGCCAACTCTTGGCCCTGCCCCACCTCAAGCCATGGAGTTTAGGAGGTGGCAGGGACCAATGACCCGACCCTATGTTGAGAGAGGGGTTCTCTGGCCTCATCACCAGCCTCTCCAATGCTCCAGGCTTCCTGTCATTTCATTTCCCAGAGTTCATTGCAAAGCAGGGTGAATGCCAGTAAGAGGTGGCACAGAAGAATCTGAAAAGCCTGACAATGGTTGCAGGAACTCCACCCTCTGGACAGGTAATGGGACCGTGACAACAGCCAACTCACACAAAGAACACCTGGGAACCATTATTAGTGCTGCAGATTCCATAGACTACAATAGCAAGAGGCTTCCCAACATATTTGAGGTCCTCCAAAAAGGAGAGGGTGTGTGGGTGTCCCTGTCTCTATTCCTGATATCTGCAGTATAGGACACAATGAAGCCCGGTCCACGTTACCACGGATATTGAGCGCAGTGGAAACGCTGACCCGGAACACCTCCTGCAGCTGGGTAGCTGCTTCCTCCAGGCATTCCTGCTGTGCTGGCTTCCCCTGCAGAGTGGAAAATGACAGCCCCTAGGAGGGAAGGGAATTAGAGGAGTGTTAGAAAACCCCCTCAAGTCTCAGGACAGCTCCTGTCATGGCTGCCAGAGCACCTCCCCACATTAGGGCCACATTATACCAAAGTAGGGTGTAGTGGCGTTTGTGCTCTAAGAGGTGACAAAAACCTCCCCACGAGTCCCATCAGGCCACGGAGCTCCCCACCAGTCTCAACAGCCCCCCAACGCCACCCTGCTCAGCACCCTCAGGCTGGGGAGCTGCATCGAAGCACCTCCAACCCCAAATAGCTCCTCAGGCCAGGTAAGCCACCTCAACGCTCCCCTAGCCCACCCAAACAGCCCTTGCAAGCCAGAGGTTCCAGCTCAACATTCCCATACAGGCTCCTCAGACCGGGGTAGCCGCATCGACGTTCCCCCAGCACAGTGCCATCTAGACCCTTCTCCAGCCCGGGGCAGACCCCTCAGGCCAGGGGAGCGCTGTGCCACCTCTTACTCAGCAGCAGGTCAGTAGAATCCAGGAGAACCTTGAAAAGGCAGTCAGTAACTCTCCCACACAGAAATACCACCCGCTCCTCCCCTTCCTAGGTCAGGTTCAGCAGCATAGGCAGCATCTCCCTACAGCGAACATGGAGCAGCCCATTTTCTGGCACTCTACATCATTCAAACTTAAATAGCCTGTCAGCTAAATAAATCCTTCCCCATTGTCCTTGTTTTATGGCTTTTTCCTAATTTCCCTGCTAATTAGCAGCATCCCCTAATTTGCCTAGTCAGGAGTGGGAGGGAATCAGGCTTGGAGTAATTGTTTTCTAGTATCTAGGATACAGTTTGGTGCCACCAAGTGGCAGCAGTGCACACTTCAGCTAATTTCAGATTAGCTCCACACTACTATTTACAATGCAGTTCTAATCAGGAGAGGAAGGATGGATTCCAGCAGGTTTGCTTCCCACCTGTCAGTCAGAGCAACCCTCAGTAAACAGAAATATAGGGATCTTTTCACTCCTGCAAGCCCTGCAGAGCCAGCCCAGCCATGGAACAGGGAGCTGGGTCCATCCCTCAGGGCCCTGCAGAGCCAGCTCAGCCACAGGGGAGGGAAAAAATAGTGCAGAAGTATGTAATTAAAGACAGTACAATAATACAGATACAGGAAGAGGTCTTGAACTAAGGCAGTCTTGATTCTGATATTTCCTAATTTTTTGTGCTTGAGTTCGCAACTTTAATGTTATTTGAGTGCACTTTGTGTGATATGTACGTACAATGGGGTCCTGATCAATGTTCCCTCTAATTTTTTACATCCATGTGCGGAATGAATTTTGTTATGTGCACCAATATGGAGGTGATGTGTGGCAGAGGTGGGGCTGAGGGGTTCAGTGTGGGAGGGGCTCAGGGCTGGGGCAAAGGGTTGGGGTGCAGGCTCTGGAGTGGGACCGGGGATTAGGGATTTGAGGTGCGGGAGGGGGCTCAGGGCTGGATCAGAGGGTTCAGGTGCAGGGGGTGTGTGTGTGTGAGCTCTGGTTGGGGGCTCTGAGGTGGGGCTAGGGATGAGGGGTTTAGGGGTGCAGGCTGCTGTGGGGGAGAAGTGCCTCTCCCCACTGTGGCAGCTCTGGGGCTGGGGCTGTGGGAGAGGCGCCTCTCCCCGCCGCATTCCTGCACGCCCCCTACCTCACTCCTCTCCAGTCCAGGCCCCTGTGGCTGCGCACCTGCACCTTGATAGTTTGCTGTGTGGTTTAGGTCCTGATCCCGATCCCGACTGGGCCCTATCGGTAGCGCGTTCCCACAGCACTAGTGTGTGTGCTGTGCAGACTCCTAAGGGCAGGATGCCACTACACACAATCTGTGGAAAGGGGGTGGAAGTGCCAAAGCTATGACTCCTGCTCTGTGACCATGACTCTCCCGGGATATGGTGCATCAGTCAGGCTGTACTGGAAAGAGCACTGACTATGTGCTTTGGGACAAGCTCCTTCTAAAGCCAAAGACCCACAGAGAAACAAAGAGACTGTACCTGTGCACTGCAGTGGGCTGGTCCCAGGCTGGTGCTGCAGCTCTCAGGGAATGGACGCTCCCCTGCAAGGAGAGATCAGGGTGAGACATGGGCCTGAGACAGACCAGTAATCCTACAACCCTTCTGCCTCCCTCCTTCCACTCCACCCCGCTCTGGAGAATTGAATCCTATCCCTATTCTGCAATAGAGTTCCTATAGGATGCCAGGCAAATCACTGCAACCAAACTTTCACACTCATTGTGTGTTCCTCATTTCCTGGGTGCCCAACCTGAGCCCTTTGGGTCTGATTTGCAGAAGCTCTGAACACCCACAGCTGTAACTGAACTCAACAGGAGCTGTGCTTTGAACACAAAAAGTGCTATGTAATGCTGTGTACTCTAAAAATCAGGCATCCAAAATTAATGAACACTTTTGACTTTAATCTTCCTGTGCCTCATCTGTAAAGCAGAGATAATAACCCCTGACCGCCTTACAGGCATTGTGAATACAAACTGGACTGTGAAGTGCTCAAACACTGGAGTGACAAGTGCCAGGAAGCAATGAATTCTGCTGTGTTCAGTGTGGGGTTTGGATGGTAGCAGCAAATAAGGCAGAGACCGCAGTGAGAATATATACTGAACAGGTAGCTAGCCATTCAGTGAACACCTTTCTGTAGCAGTATTCTGGATTATGTCACCAGCGTCCCTCCTTGATGCACCACTGCTCCAGGGCACTCACAGACACAGCCTCACACTCATTGACATCAGGAACTGGAACATATGCTCTAGTTCCAACTGGAATTGTTTTGGGGAAGTCTCTGGCCTGTGTTATATAGGGGGTTAGACTAGATCAGTAGTGGGCAATCTGCGGCCCGTCAGAGTAATCCGCTGGTTGGCCGTGAGACAGTTTGTTTACATTGACTGTCCACAGGCATGGCCGCACGCAGCTCCCAGTAGCTGCGGTTCACTGTTCCTGGCCAATGGGAGCTGCAGGAAGTGGCGCAGGCTGCAGGGACGTGCTGGCTGCCGCTTCCCGCAGCTCCCATTGACCAGGAACGGTGAACTGTGGCCACTGGGAGCTGTGGGCAGCCGTGCCTGCGGATAGTCAATGTAAACAAACTGTCTTGCGGCCTGCCAGCGGATTGCCCTGATGGGACGCATGCGGCCTCTGGGCCGCAGGTTGCCCACCACTAGACTAGATGATCACAATGGTCCCTTCTGGCCTTGGAATCTATGAATCCTCCTCTTCTTAGTGACATCAGCTCTCCACATGGAGAAACTGCCATGATGGGTTATCTGGATGTATGGCTCATTACAACAATTTGTAACCCATTAATATCCTCTTTTTGTCTTATGAGTACAGGGGGGTTAACGGGCCACTTCACCTTGAATGGTTTAATACAAAGTGTGTTAACGACTTATGCTAATCATAGAATCTTAGGGTTGGAAGAGACCTCAGGAGGTCATCTAGTCCAATCCCCTGCTCAGAGTAGGACCAACCCCAACTAAATCATCCCAGTCAGGGCTTTGTCAAGCCGGGCCTTAAAAACCTCTAAGGACGGAGATTCCACCACCTCCCTAGGTAACCCATTCCAGTGCTTCACCACTCTCCTAGTGAAATAGTGTTTCCTAATATCCAACCTAGACCTCCCACACTGCAACTTGTTCTTGTTCTGTCATCTGCCACCACTGAGAACAGTCTAGATCCATCCTCTTTGGAATCCCCCTTCAGGTAGTTGAAGGCTGCTATCAAATCCCCCCTCACTGTTTTCTTGTGCGGACTAAATAACCCCAGTTCCCTCAGCCTCTCCTCGTAAATTATGTGCCCCAGCCCCCTAATAATTTTCATTGCCTTCCGCTGGACTCTCTCCCATTTGTCCACATCCCTTCTGTAGTGGGGGGACCAAATCTGGACGCAATACTCCAGGTGTGGCCTCACCAGTGCCAAATAGAAGGGAATATTCACTTCCCTCAATCTGCTGGCAATGCTCCTACTAATACAGCCCAATATGCTGTTGGCCTTCTTGGCAACAAGGGGACACTGCTAACTCATATCCAGCTTCTCGTCCACTGTAATCCCCAGATCCTTTTCTGCAGAACTGCTGCTTAGCCAGTTGGTCCCCAGCCTGTAGCGGTACATGGGATTCTTTCTTCCTAAGTGCAGGTCTCTGCACTTGTCCTTGTTGAACCTCATCAGATTTCTTTCTTTCTAAACAATCTGTTGACATTCCATTTTGCTGTGACACTGGGAGTTCCTTTCAAAGACCTGAAAAAGAGCTCTGTGGCTCAAAAACTTGTCTCTCTCACCAGCAGAAGTGGGTCCAGTAAAATATATTATCTCACCCATCTTGTCTCTCTAATATCCTGGGACTGACATGGCTACAACAGCAAGACCCAATGATGGCTCACTGGCAGGTAACCCTCCAACACACACCACTTTCACTGCCCCCTACAGCAAACCGTTAGGGGATGCAGCTCTTCTGCAGGCTCACCCCTCCCACAGCAAACTGACAGGAGCCCGCAGCGCTTCCTCTCCCACCAGCCCCACAATGAACTGAGAGGGGCCTGCAGCACTTCCTCACTCTCCCCACCACTGCCCAGCCTTGTTGGGAAAACACAGCTGTTTCCTTACAGCCCCTTGCCATGACCCTCACAGAGGGAGGGATTTGGCTGTGAGGATGAGGCAGTTCTGCTGCTAGCACCCTTCTTCCCAGGCCCTTCTTGGCAGATGCCTTCCCCCTCCGCTGGCACCCATACATCCTCTCCTGAACAGCAGGAGCGCTTGGGAATGGGCAGAAAGTGGCATGGGGAGGTTGCAATGATGATTTCATTGTGTACAGGATTACTAGGAATCATAGTGGCACTATAAAGCCGGGTGAGATCCCATGCTCCCACAGCTGGCTCAGAGAATGCAAAATCCATCACAGCCTGAGAGCAATTTTCCCAATGGTCAATTCCCTCACTGTTAAAAACATGCGATCTATTTCCACTATAGATTTGTCTGTTTTACGCTCCCAGCCAGTGGATCCTGCTGCTTTTGACTGCTGCATTGGAGTCCTCCATTCTCCAAAATCTCCTTGTGCACAACAAGCTGCTCATGATCAAAGTTATCTCCTAACCTGGGATAAGCTAAAGCAGTGAGTCTCAAACGTTTTTACTGGCGACTCCTTTCACATAACAGGCCTCTGAGTGCAACCCCCCTAATAAATTAAACACCCTTTTTAATATATTTAATATCATTATAAATGCTGGAGGCAAGCGGGGTTTGGGGTGGAAGTTGACAGCTCGCGACCCCCCTTGTAATGACGTTGTGACCCCTGAGGGGTCCTGATCCCCAGTCTGAGAACCCCTGAGCTAAAAAGATGGGACTCCCTACAATTCTGACTGTGAGGCAGGTTTCTAATTGCTCTTGAGGCTCTTTCCTGGACCCTTTCCAAGTCAACACCCCTTCTGAAGCAAGGACACCAAACTGGACGCAGAATCCCAGGTGCCAAGGCCAATCAAACCCACCCTCAGTTGCACCATAGGCTCCTTCCCCACCTCCAGGAGACACCCTGCACTCTGGGCTCCTTGAGACTCCCAAAAAATCCCTCTGCCTTGGGTGCCCTACCCCATACACCCTGGGCTGGTACCTGTTTCTGGGCAGCGCTGAGGCTTTCCTTGCCCTGAGGGGATGCCAGGGGATGGATTCTCTGGTGCAGCGTCTGGAATTCCTCCCAGCAGGAAGCAGGGCACCTTTTGGTTACTGTGGCAACTGGATGAGCCTGCAGCTGGCACTGAAACACAGAAGACAAGCCCCAACACCTGAAAGCCATGCAGGATGTCACCTGTGGGACATGCCTGGGGTCGCCCCTTCATGTTTGCAGTGCCTGGGGCCCCCTGAGCATTTGCTCAGAGCTCTCCCATCTCTGAGCATGGGGCCAAAGGGCAGAAGAAGAGAGAACTCCAGAGTCATGGGCAGGGAACACAAGGAACCTGCTTTGTGTGTCTCAACCCAGAAGGTGCCCAAGCCAGTGTGAAGGGATAGGGTATTTCCCAGCGACATGACCCCCAGGCTCACAGGACTTCACACCCTGCTGGCTCCCAATTTCAGACTGACAGGTGCCTTTTGCACAGGGGCAGCACAGCCCTCCCTGTACCCTCACAGCGCTCCCACAGCAGAGACTCTCAACCGACAGTCACCCTGGGCCCCCGTCCTCCTGCAGGAGGCAGAACTGACCTGAGTGCTGATGGGGCAGCAGAGAAGAGAGGAGCCCACCCACACGGGGATGCCCATCCTCTCTTCCTGCCCCTGGCACGGGGCTCAGCCATGGGATCTGCCTGGCCAACTGCAGAACAAGCACAGCTAGTGCGCCCTAAAGGAAGGAAAAGACAAGTCAGAGAAAACAACCACCCCTTCCTCTCTCCCCTCCCTGCAGCACACAGCTCTCCCTTTCCATTGGGTGCCCAGACACAGCAGAGCATCCTGCCCACAGCTCCCCACCTACACAGCATCCCAGCTGCAACTTCCCTTCACACTGCCATATGCATCCCGTCCACAGCTCCCCAGACATCCCTGACTCCCCACCCCATTCCCGCAGGGCATCCCAGGCTCAGCTCCCCACCTCACTCCCGGAGAGCATTCCATCTGCTGCTCCCCATCCAACTCAGCTGCCCACCCCATTCCCACAGGGTGTCCATCCCACACACCTCTGCAGGGCTTCTGGGTCACAGTTCCACAGCATCCCATCTAGCCACAGCTTCTTCCCTCCAACTACCCACATCCCTGCAGGAGACATCTTGATCACAGTTCCCTCCAACCCCCCAGCTACAGCTCCGCCAACTCCCTCCTCACAGGTGCCTTGGCCACAGTCCCTTTATAGAGGCATGTTTTGGTTGCAGCTCCCTCCCCCCACACCAGAAGAGACTGTCCCTCACCCAGGTGAAGGCATCCAGGACTGTGTAGTGAGGCTGCAAGTTCAAGAAGGGTCGCTGCGCATTCCCTTGCTCCCAATCATCTCGACCCCGTCCGCTCTGCCAGCCAGGTGAGAGAAAATAACTGGAAAACAAACAATAATGTAAAACTCCTTTCCCTGCAAAACTGGGTGAGATAATGAGCTCTCTAGACTACAGGGGCCCAACCCACACCACAGTTAAGTCAACCAGAGTTTTCTATTTAGATCTGAATTTTCAAAGGGCTCTACAATGCAAGGCAGACAAAAAAGTCTGATTGGAGACCTGAGGCTGGGTTTGCAGTGCAAATCTGAGGTCCATTGATGCAGGGGTTCAGGAAATACAGGACTCCACCCTTCCCAACCTGCTTTTAAAATTTTCAGGTTATGAGGCTTTTGGCAAAGACCTGGGGAAAAAACTATGGCCACGAGCCACATAAAACTAGCATTGTAGGACTTCTTGATCCAAACTAGTGTCCAGCACCAAGAACCTGTCTGGTAAACCAATATTTCAAGTTACTGGACTTTCATTCTGGTTCTCCCAGCACTAAACTGAGCTACTATAATCCCGAGTCAGCTGACATAGGCCAGACCTGGGTGGTTTACTGCAGTGTAGAGATGTCCCCATTCTGGTTCTCCCAGCGGTGTACTGAGCTACTGCATGCAACAATCCGGAGTGGAGACAGGAAGCGACTGCACATGTTCGTTAGCGCGCTCAGTTCTACAGATCAGCCTGAAACTCACTTCAGACCAGGGGTTATGGCACAAACACAGGGTCATTAGGTCAGGTGGTTCCCAGGATAAGGCACTCCCATCCATACACACCCAACAATGACCTGGCTCTGTTTATCAGCCTGTTTTAAAATTTACATGCAGAGTTAGATTGACTTGAAAATGTGAATGTCGGGTAGGGACCAGCAATAGACTAAAGAGAACAAATCTGGGGGCATTTGCACAGAGGTTCCTGAGATGCAGCCCCCTCAAAATGACCTATCTGCAAGAGCAGGGTCGCATGAAAATTGACCTGCCAGTTGAATGCCTGTATAATGTGCTATGTGGGAAACTTGGCATCATTTAAGGGGACTCCCAAGCTATTAGGCCCCAAAGTATAAGCATGAAAAGGAGTGAACATGGAGCTGGTGCTAAAGCTGTGTCAGGAGAGCAGCTACCAGCTCAGTTTCTCTGGAGGCTTGCTACTGGAGGTACAGGGACAGAGCTGGCAGCTGTGGGGTCTCGACTCCCCTTAACCCTGCTCCCAGGGAGCCAGCAGTAGGCCATGGGAATGAAACATAACCTCACCCCTTCCTAACCCTGCCATTTTCTCTGTGCCCAGCACAGCTCCAACCCACCATTCCCATCCATGTCTCCTGATGCCCATGTCACAGGATGCATCAGGGAACACCACCAGCAGCTGGTGCTCCACACCTGACACTGACATCTCAGGAGGCTCATGGCTGCAGTTGTAGGGATCAGAGCTTTAAAAACTTTAATGCCACTATTCACCAATTCTCCTTCTGTATCCCCGCCAAGCTGGCAGAGGGAATCCAGTGCTGCTGCTTGGCTGCTCCTGCCTCCACAGCACTAACTACAGCTCTGTTATTCACTTCCCTCCCTTTAGGTGGTGCTGCTTGGTGCTCTCCCTGAGAGGTATTGGGTGGGAAGCAGGGCAAGCCACAGCAACTAGGGGCAGTGAGGGGAGCCCAGTGTGAGGGTGGGAAGGAATGCAGAGAGGATAGATCTGGGATGGAGCCATGATTTGGACAGTCTCTGGGGCCATGGATAAAGCTTAGCTGGAAGGGCAAGGATTGCAGAGATGATCTCAGCAGTAGCACTAGAGGGCATCTGGGCATTTTCCTGCTCTCTGTTACTCCCTCTGTTCCTGGATTTCATAGTTGCAGCTGTTGCCAAGAGCACTCTTTATTGCCTGGGCTTGGCAAGAATGTTCCAGTCCAGCCTTCCCAGGGCTTCTAGGCCCCTGTGTTACTGCTGTATTGCTCTTTGCAGGGCAACGTGCCTGAAGAGCATTCACCAACTGTTGCAGATGCCTGCCTGCAAATTAAGCAGTGCCTCATGCCAGGGGCCACACTGATTGCTGATTCCTTTCTAGTGACATCTGAGGTCCTACTGGTGACCTATAAACATGGCTTGAAAACTCCACTCAGCCAATGGCTTAGGGCAATGAAAATGAGGATGAGTAACTGGGCTGAGTTTCCTCACTGAAATGGCTTGAGTGCTGGGTTCCACGATGAGGTGACCTGCTCCAGCAAATCTGCAACCTCTTCTCCATTCAGGACAATGCAGGGAGTAGGAAAGTGAAGCAGCTGAGAGCCCAAAGGCAGAGCAGCAAACTGAACAGACTGGGACGGGGGCAGAAGAGAGGATCAGCTGTGGGAAGCAGAGGTACTGGTGAGGGTCTGTTACCGACCATCAAATAAAACCAGAGGACAGATGGTTACTCCTGTCTGTAATGTATGGACAGAAAAACTATGTTGTTTTGAGAGGCCTTTAGTTTAGGAGACATGTTGGAAGGTGTCCTACAGTCAACAGTAAAACATCATTAATTTCTAAACATTACAATTTTCTAACCCAAAAGGATAACATTGGCTAACCCATCCTGGTTCAGTGGCAAAATCAAGGCAGCAATTAGATATAAAAAAGCAACATATAACAAATGGTAAAAGGGGAAATAGACAATAATTATGAATCAAAAGTTATGATGTGCAGAAATATAAGGGAAGCTAAAGATGGAAAAAATCCATGGTTGACAGGACTTCATATGGACAGTATGAAAGAATTTTTTAAAGTATATTAGGTACAAAAGCATCCAAGCAATGGCGTAGGCCTGTCACTATATGGAGATGGTAAAATTGTTAATGATGATGCAGATAAGGCAGAAGCGTTAAATAAATGTTTCTGTTCTGTGTTTGGAAAGAAGCAGAATGACACACTCACATAACATTAGGATGAGGAAGTACTTTCCAGTACATTAGTAACTAAAAAGGATATTAAACTACATCTACTAAGGACAGATATGTTTAAATCATCTGGCCCAGATAACTTGCAACCAACATTCCTAAAAGGGTTGGCTGAAGATATCTGTGGCCTGCTGATTTTATTTTTTAACAAATCTTAGAATACTGGGGAAACGCCAGAAGACTGGAAGAGTGCTAATGTTGTGCCAATATTGAAAATGGGCAAGGGGGTTGATCTGGGTAACTATAGGCCAGTTAGTCAGACATCAGTCCCATACAAAATAATGGAAATGCTGAACTGGGATTCAATGACTAAAGAATTAAAGGTTTCAGAGTAACAGCCGTGTTAGTCTGTATCCGCAAAAAGAAGAACAGGAGTACTTGTGGCACCTTAGAGACTAACAAATTTATTAGAGCATAAGCTTTCATGGACTACAGCCCACTTCTATGC